AAAAAATGGCCTGGTCTGGAAGAAAGGAAGGGGGAGGGGGGGGTTGCAAAAGTCTCTGGAGGGCAAGTGGTTAAAGGATGACTCCACAAGTGTTGAGTAAAAAAACATTCCCCTCTGGGTTACTATGTACATTGCAAGAATTTAACCTCTTCCCCTTTTCAACCCTTTAAAATTTGTTGCAGACTGTTATTCTGTAGAAGAAATAGCTGTTTGTCTGATAATTAAAAAGTCACTCCCATTCCACTTTCCATGAACACAATCAGCTTGCATTGTTCTAATGAGGAAAGTGGCAGGGTCTGAATCCCTTTGTATGTTATTTTCTGTTTAAAAACACAAAGGGCCTAAATATCGAGCTTGCCTGGTATTAGGTACATAAATAATAATGCTAAACATTTTTATTTGAAACGTTAATATTTTCGAATATTTGCTGTGTGTTTTTCTGTTGCTCTCACTCCTAACTTTTTTACTTTGCTTCAGGACTTATGGAATTCTCTCCAGTTGAGGTGAATGGTAGCTCCCCCAGTTGTCGATGGTAAGGAAAACTTGGTAATTCTGCCTGGACTTACCTGTCTCCGTGAGCCTCCCATAAGAAAATATCTCAAAGACATAACTGCTTTTCCTTTTTTGGAATCACATTTCCATTTTCATTTTCCAGTTACATGAAATGAAGAAACTAACTGTTATGGGCAATGCATGGAGATTTGTTTACAAAAAATGAGCAAAAAATTGATCTCCTAGAAGCAGTGATGTTACAACTGTAAAATTCAGCATTTCTGTGAATCTGCCCAGTGGAGGTTTTTGTGCGGATTTCTCTATACTTGAGTTTCTCTGTATTACAAGCAGGCATTTTTATTACAACTTTTCATATATAATTATTGCTTCATGGTTTTAGCTGTCTGAAAAGAAATGAAAGGGACGTATTATAAGCAAATTAAAAACCGACTGCTATTCACAAATGAATTGTGAGTTTAATCAAAACAGAAAATGTATGCTTTCTGAATAGGTGTCTAATTTGGATCCCTTAGGCTGCCAATTCTTACAAGGTCATGTCTGTTCTTGATGATATTGTTAACATGTTGTAGACATTTATGCCACCTTTTAAATGCACATTTAAATCTGTGCCCATCCTTAAGATGGAACCATCTGAATATATTGAGAAGTCGTAGTGTATCTATCAATGTTCCTGTTCATGCATCACACAGAAAAGGGTAGACACAGTGCATACATGAGTTTGTGCAGTTACCTGCTTAGTTGTGATCATTGCTTCGTATAAAGAACTTAAAGTGGGATTTAAGTCTAGATCTGACTAAGCTTAGAACGGCTCCCATTCCCCTTCTAACTACCCTGTAGAAAGAAGATGCTTATACATACCTATTCTCAAAGCATTTCAGTCCTGTCATGTGATCTCTGCAGCAGCTACCTTAAGGGAAGAGGAAAGAGTGCTTACAACGGATGGAATGCCTGGGCTGTGAAGTCATCCATAGGCTTACTATGGGGCATCTCTTGTAGGCTCTTCCTCTTCTAACCTGAAGCCGGCCGCTGGGAGTCGATCCAATGACCGGAGGGCCTGAAAATAGGTAAGTATAAGCATCTTCCTATTACAAGTCAGTTAGGAGGGGAGGGGAGGGGGGGGGGAAGCAATTTTAAACTTAGTTAGATGTAACCACCTGGATTTCTACTTTAAAGCCCTTTGTACTGTAGCTGGTGAATTCTTATTGGTTCATAAGTATACCTGTGTATGGTATAGCTTTGTAAATGCCCATTAAATTGCTTTCCCTGAAAAATGAAAAAACAAAAGACCCAAAAAACTAGCATTTCCACTTCTTGTTATTCAGTAAATTGAATAGTGGAATATATACATAACATTTTTACAATCCTTGGTATCTTCCAATAGTTACCCAGATCACCGCTAAATTAAACTTCAAAAACTTTACTTCTAATGATGCCAGAACTGATGGTGGAAGAAGCACAAATAAATGTCAGCATGTAGGCTTTCAATGGACAGTGTCATGTTTGCTAAACAAAGTATTTTTAAATAAGTTACTTTAGTTATAAAATGTTCGATTTATGTACATGTATAAATTGATCACATAGCTTTTCTTTTCAGCTGGCATTCAGCTGCCTCCATGTCGGATACGTCGTTCCTAATCCATGGAGGCTATGATGGGAATCAGGCCTTAAGTGACACCCATATGTTTAATACAGGTAAAAATGCGACTTGTTTTTTACTTTTATTTATTTTCCAATGTTTGACTGTTGCTACTAAGGGGTTTAAAATTAACCCATTAGCCATTTTAAACTTTCAAACATGAGAGTTGCATAACAGAGCATATACTGATATTGTAAGCTGGAAAAAGCTCTTCTGTGTGCCCCTACACTTTGCTGGGGACCTGACTTAAGGCAACAGGATCATCAGCTGCGGTTTTCCTGTCTGATGAGCGTATGCTTTTAAGCAACTGAGGCATTTGAATTGGGCATAAAGACTGAAGTTGGCAGAAATGAGCTCTAAAGCCAATCCCTTGTTTCAAAAAGGTAACAAAGATGGCTTCTCATTTAACAAAGTGATAACGCATCATGTGGCGCTTCCTGCCGGGCAGGATATTTGCAAGACAAAAAAATGTCTCAAAGTGTCACTTCAACTACTTTTTTGCTGTTAGTTCATTTGCAGCACATTGAAAAAAGCCTGCTGCAAATTAGCTACTTGCTGACCGCCCACAGCACTTTTACTGCGGGCGGGTGACATGTACAGGCAAAGCAACGTACCTGTACATTATTTTGCCTGTACTGACACTTGGCAGCATGGACACAGCAGAATGCGGATCCTGTTATTTGAGATCTGGTGATTGCTATGCAGTCACATGATTCCAATGTCAACAAAGCTGGTATGACTGAATTTCATTCATATCAGCTTTGCTTCTGGTACTAGTGAGCTGTGATTGGCCCACTGCTATCCCATGGTACCTGGGCCAATCGCAGCACAATGTGATTAGCTGTAGCCAGTCACAGATCACTAGTATTCTGAACTGTCATGAACTTAACCCATTCATGAAAGTTCAAAGCATTTCTTGTGCAACGGTCTTCATTGTACCAGCAATCAATGAGTTTACACAAAAAAAGAAAAATCCCTGATCCTACCATAGTTTGTGGAATATATACACCTTTCCTACAGACTAAATAGTATACAGTAATTGGGGTTTTTTTTTTTTTTTATTTCCCAAAGACATGCAGAAGAATACATTTTGGCTTAAATGTATGAAGAAAACTATTATTTTTTTAATTAAGATAAGCTGTATAATGGGGAAAAAAAAATGATATATATATATATATATATATATATATATATATATATATATATAATATAAATATAAAAAAAAATTCAGTCTTTTTCATTTATATAGTTAAAACCCCACTGGTGATCAAATACTACCAAAAGAAAGCTCTATTTGTGTGAAAAAAAAATGATATACATTTCATTTGTATACAGTGTTGCATGACTGCGCAATTGCTAGTTAAAGTAACGCAGTGCCGAATAGCAAAAAATGCTCTGGTCATGAGGGGGGTAAAATCTTCCGGAGTTGAAGTGGTTAAAGTGTTACTAAAGCCCGGATCCTGCATTTACTATATCTGTTCTCCCACTGTACACAGAATATGGAAATGCAATTTTTTTGATAAATATAAACTGCTAAATACCGTTTCGCATCAGCAGTTAGAGCACACTTGAGACTTATATCAGTGTCCAGCAGTGCACTGGTTAAAGCTTTTAGGAGGAGTTTTCATTCTCCCCTGATTGTCCTGTGAGGCTGTAAGACCCTGACCTTCTGCCTGGAAAGCGCTGATTGGCCCTGTTTTGATCACAAGCACTGTCAAAAAAAAAAAAAAACACAAAAAAAAAAACTCTAGCAGTACACACGAAACAGCACGTGCAGCTTGCCTCCTAGGCTCTGTTCTATCAGCAGATCGATTGGTTTCACAGTGAATATAACAAGCATGCTTTACTGCATATACAAACAGATTTTAGTTTTGTAGGTTTAGTAACACTTTAAGTTACAGACCTAGTCAAAAAAAAAAAAAAACTGCTGCAGGTTTAAAGGATAAGTTCACCTTTGGGAACATGTTACATGTTCCACTTGTTTTTGGGGTAGAACATGTAACATGTTTCCACTACTGTAGCTTTCCCCTGATCAACAACCCCCCCCCCCCCCCCATGTGACAGCGGCCGGGGATCTTCTTCCCACACCTGCTGTCACAATTTGAAAAGAGCAAGACCATGTGGGGCTCAGAGTTCTGTAAATGAATAGACTACAAGTACCGACAGCCTTTGCAGACGATGCTTTGTAGTTCTCGATGGACTGCAAGGGCGGTGGTGAGCATCCTCTTACTGCAGTCCAGGAAGAATCAGTGAACTAACTGCCTGCCCTTATTGGAGGTATGGACAGACCGCTGCACTGACAGCCGACAGGAACCTGACACTGCTCCTCCAATCTTCTGATCGTGGGTGTAATGCTTTCCAGGTTTCTAAGAAAAAAATAAATAGTAAATGTATATGTTTTTATCTGCAAAACAATGTGTAATTTTTTTTAAAAGGTGAACTTCTTTAAAGTGCGCCTTATTTGCAGTAACCTCCCACACCAACTTGTAATGACTGAATTTCGGGCCTCATTCTGCCCCCCACTAATTTTTAGCCGATTATTGGCAGCCTCACTGGGTAAAAGAAATTTATAGAAGGCAAGAAGAGGCTTGCAAGTTCTGACAATGTTGAAGTACGAGAGCTTTGCCTGTTCAGCTGTAATAAGAAGATTTTAGAGCCTGCCTGCATGTTATACCTGTAGCAGAGCTTTTCCAATGACAGTTGCTTTAGATAACTCACTAAAGTAAGGTTCTAATTACTAATGTACTTTAGCCCCTTGTTTTTGCATTTTCCATGTTCTGTCTTTTGTGATATTAACCAATTTAATTTGGTGGGAAAACCTTTGATAAAAGCTGAATAATAATTTACTACTACTAAACTACTGCATCATATTTCTAAAGTACCGTATTTTTCGCTCCATAAGACGCACCTGACCATAAGATGCGCCTAGGTTTTAGAGGTGAAAAAAAAAAGAAAAAAAATATTCTGAACCAATGGACTGCAGACATAGTACAGAAAATGACCAGAGACTGCAGACACAGTACAGAAGATGACCCAGAGACTGAGGAATCAGTACAGAAAATGACCAGAGACTGCGGAATCAGTACAGAAAATGACCAGAGACTGCAGAATCAGTACAGAAGATGACCAGAGACTGTGGAATCAGTACAGAAAATGACCAGAGACTGCAGACACAGTACAGAAGATGACCAGAGACTGTGGAATCAGTACAGAAGATGACCAGAGACTGCGGACACAGTACAGGAGATGACCAGAGACTGTGGACACAGTACAGAAGATGACCAGAGACTGCGGACACAGTACAGGAGATGACCAGAGACTGCAGACACAGTACAGGAGATGACCAGAGACTGCGGACACAGTACAGGAGATGACCAGAGACTGCGGACACAGTACAGGAGATGACCAGAGACTGCGGACACAGTACAGGCGATGACCAGAGACTGCGGACACAGTACAGGAGATGACCAGAGACTGCGGACACAGTACAGGCAATGACCAGAAACTGCGGACACAGTACAGGAGATGACCAGAGACTGCGGACCTTTGGGGAGGGAGGGGGAGCGGGCACCTCAATTTGACAGGTACCCGCTCCCACTCCCGCGGAGTTGTCCTCCCTTTACTGCACATGCGCGAGAAGCGCTGTACTTTGTGAATGGCGTGGAAAAGTGCATCTTATGGAGCGAAAAATACGGTACATATGCAACATCAAGATAATTTAACTGTTGCAACTCTGTCCCGTAATACCTAGCTATACTGTACATGAAATTTTATTTGGTGAGCAAAATATTTTTTCTTGCCTCAAGTTGACTCAAAATGAAATGGACGGCAAGGATTAAATCTCATGCTTGCAACTGTTTCAGCTTGTGCATGAAACCTTAGGCCACCGGTGGTTCAACTATTGGTAACACCTTAGTAACAATCAATAAAATGTGTTTGTCAACATCAACCGAATCCTTAGTATGTCTGTACTGCTGCTGAGGGCAGTGAATGCATATTTTTCAGATTTATTTCCAAACTGGATATTGTAAGGTGGAATAGTAAAATAAATAGATTTGGAAAACATTGCCCAATGAAAGTTTATTTTTCTCTTACAGTGACAAAGACTTGGACTGCTTTGGTTCACAAATCATTGCCTCGTTCTCCACGTGCGGGGTACTCTATGCTGACCCTCCCTGGTGGGAAAGAGGAAAGTAAGGATTGCAGGCCTCAGGAATTGCTGATCTTTGGTGGAGGAGACAACGAAGGGCAGTTCTACTGTGATACTGTCAGACTGCAGATAACAGATATTGTGGATCTGTAGAGGTCTAATATCTCTTCTGTTTATAAATCTTTTATTTTGTATATAAACATGCATTGTGATTGTATAGAATTTTATTAAAGGCTGACTTTCTTATAAAGTATTTACTGTAAGTGGTCATATTTAACAGATAAACTTATGTACACAGCAGAAAGTTCAAATGCGGATAAAAAGGCGACGACTTTTCAGCTGCATTAATAGAGCTCGTTTTATTGGATTGTACATTTGAATTCTGAGTGTCTCTTTTCACTGTAAAGGAGGTTTTAAACAATTATGAGTAGTTAGAAAGCAGTTTTACATATTCTTTATATTTGTTCTTTGTGTCAAAGTGCTTGTTTGGTATTTCTGTTAAATATAGGTATTGGTTAATAGCAGTGCTGTTTTTGTTTGTCTCTTTTTCTGGATCATGTTATTTTGATGCAGGTTTGTCTGTATTAAAATTTTGTGCCATGCCATTGGTGTGACAAATTTTCAAAGTGTCATTCATATAATAAAATCTATAAGAATTGTACATTTGTGTGCAAACAATTTTGATGGTGAAACATCTGTGCCAAAAGCAGAGGTTAGTGTTCAGAAGCCGAGAACAAATGTACCATTTACAGTATAGTTCTGCTGGCTGAAAGTTGAACTTTACCTATACCAGTTTGAAAACAATGAATGTACTTTAACAAAAGAACAAACATTCCACTTTAATAATCATGCTTTCAAAATGAGTGTGTTGTGAATTGCCTCCAGCATTGCTCCTGCTTCTTTTTGCTGGGGTATAAGGGGAAAAAAAAAGGAATAAAGAGTACCAGGGTGCACTTGACACCACAATGACCAGTATGACCCAGAGGATGTATAAGGTCAAATAACTGCATGGTGAAATTCCCCAACACTGGGCCAGGTGTACAGGTGGAGAAGGGGAGAGGGGGGGAAAGAAGAAAGAGGGTAGCAGGCCAGATGTTGTGGGAAGGAGGGTCTAGGTATACCAGACACATGAGGAAAAAGTACAGGCACAGAGAGGAAGATTAGCAACTAAAAGGAGTGAGAAAAAACAAGTACCTAGAAGAGCAAGGTTTCTCGCTTGGTGCACACGAACCAAAGTCTCAGGAGGTCAACCAGATGGCGAAACCTCCTGCAGGTAGGTATCAGTATAGACAAAGCATTGTCAGGGTTTCCAAGTATCACAGAAGGTCTCTTCCTGGTTATGCAGGGTAGCCGTAAGGGTTTAAATAATTAACAAAAAAGATAAAATGTCCAATCTCAGTGAAGCAGAATGAATAAATCTACAGTTGCTGATCCATATATTTCTTTCCTCATTCACAAATTAACCGCTTCCCAACCGCCCTATAGCAGAAGTACTGCTTCAGGGCTGCACAAAATCACTTATATACAGTCATGGCCGAAATTGTTGGCACCCTTGATATTTTTCCTGAAAATCAAGTATTTCACACAAAAAAGGTATTGCATTAACACATGTTTTGCTATACACATGTTTATTCCCTTTGTATGTATTGGAACAAATATAAAACAGAGGCAGAAAAGCAAATATGACATAATGTCACACAAAACCCCAAAAATGGGCTGGACAAAAGTATTGGCACCCTTAACTTAATATTTGGTTGCACACCCTTTGGAAAACATAACTGAAATCAGTCGCTTCCTATAACCATCAATAAGCTTCTGACACCTCTCACCCGGAATTTTGGACCACTCTTCCTTTGCAAACAGCTCCAGGTCTCTCTTATTGGAAGGACACCTTTTCCCAACAGCAATTTTAAGATCTCTCCACAGGTGTTTCAATGGGATTTAGATCTGGGCTCATTGCTGGCCACTTCAGAACTCTCCAGCGCTTCTTTGCCATCCATTTCTGAGTGCTTTTTGACGTATGTTTGGGGTCATTGTCCTGCTGGAAGACCAGGATCTTGGACGCAAACCCAGCTTTCTGACACTGGGCCCTACAGTGCGACCCAAAATCCTTTGGTAATCCTCAGATTTCATGATGCCTTGCACACAGTCAAGGCACCCAGTGCCAGAGGCAGCAAAACAACCCCAAAACATCATTGAACCCACCATATTTTACCGTAGGTACTGTGTTTTGTTCTTTGTAGGCCTCATTCCGTTTTTCGGTAAACAGTAGAATGATGTGCTTTACCGAAAAGAAAAGCTCTATCTTGGTCTCATCTGTCCACAAGACGTTTTCCCAGAAGGCTTTTGGCTTACTCAAGTACATTTTGGCAAACTGTAGTCTTGCTTTTTTATGTCTCTGTGTCAGCAGTGGGGTCCTCCTGGGTCTCCTGCCATAGCGTTTCATTTCATTTAAATGTCGACGGATAGTTCGCGCTGACACTGATGCTCCCTGAGCCTGCAGGACAGCTTGAATGTCTTTGGAACATGTTTGGGGCTGCTTATCCACCATCCGGACTATTCTGCGTTGCAATCTTTCATCAATTTTCCTCATCCGTCCACGACCAGGGAGATTAGCTACAGTGCCATGGGTTGCAAACTTCTTGATAATGTTGCGCACTGTGGACAAAGGCAAATCTAGTTTCTGGAGATGGACTTGTAACCTTGAGATTGTTGATATTTTGCCACAATTTTGGTTCTCAGGTCCTCAGACAGTTCTCGTCTCCTCTTTCTGTTGTCCATGCTTAGTGTGGCACAGACAGAAGACACACAATGCAAAGGTTAAGTGAACGTCTCTCCTTTTTATCTGCTTTCAGGTGTGATTTCTATATTGCCCACACCTGTTACTTGCCCCAGGTGAGTTTACAGGAGCATCACATGCTTGTAACATTCTTATTTATCCGCAGTTGTGAAAGGGTGCCAATACTTTTGTCCAGCCCATTTTTGGAGGTTTGTGTGACATTATGTCGAATTTGCTTTCTTTCCTCCCTTTTTTTGTTTTGTCCCAATACACACAAAGGGAATAAACATGTGTATAGCAAAACATGTGTTAATGCAATACGTTTCGTGAGAAATACATGATTTTCAGGAAAAATATCAAGGGTGCCAACAATTTCGGCCATGACTGTAAATGTGATTTTGTATTTCCGGGTAGGGGGCGCGTGCGCGTGCTGTACCTGCACAGCCATTGGCAGCTTCAGCTGTCGATCACCGAGATCTGGTCGGAGATTCCATGCTGGCACCCGGCGATTGCCGAGGAACACTGAAAGCGGAGAGGTCTGTATGTAAACAATACACATCTCTACCCTGCCAGCTCCAGCAAGCTGCTTTGCATAGCAGAGCAATACAAAGCAGCATGCTTACACAGTAAAGCACACACACAAACAACACAGTAAAACAGCACCCTTTGATCGCCCCAGATGTTAACCCCTTCCTGCCCAGTATCATTAGTACAGGGGGCAGTGCTTTTTATTAGCACTGATGACTGTATTAGTGTCAGTCTGTTCCTCTCCAGTGTCATAGTGCCCGCTGCAGTCCCGCTATAAGTTGCTGAGCACCGCCATTACTATTAAAAATACCAGTATATATACTGCCATTTGTAGACGCTATAACTCACGTAAACCAATTTATTTACACGTATTGCGATTTTTTTTTTTTTTTTTTTTTTTTTTTTTAGCGAAGACAGCAAAACACATTTTGGCCTAAATTATATTTTTATTTACTAGATATATGTTGTTTATAGCGCAAAAAAATAAACACACAGGCAATCAAATACCACCGGAAGAAAGGTCCATTTGTGGGAAAAGAGGGACATAAATTTCATTTGGTTGCAGCATTACATGACCGCGCAATTGTCAGTTAAAAGAATGCAGCACCGTATCGCAAAAAATGGCCTGTTCAGGAAGGGGGATAAATCCTCAGGAGTGTGGATTAGTGGTTAAAAGAACTCCCTCCTTCCTTTGTTGGAAGGGGAGGGATCAGCCATGTAAACAGTAACATGTGATCCACGTGATGGCCAATCACATGATACAAAGCCCCTTGTCTTGTGCCGAATCATCAGCGCTTTGTGGGTGGAACAGCTGTGAGACGGATTTTTATTCAGAGCCGTTTATAAACCGCACTGGGCAAATAAAGGACTGCCTATCCACCTTATAGATTTTACTGCATAGTTACATTGGTCCTGTTTGGACTAATGTAATCATACATATGCAATGGTAGTGGAAGTGCAGAAACATTGTGA